GCTCTGCGCTGATGCCTCGGCGAAGACTCCAGTGGGAAGAAACTTCCTGGAAAGGAGGGTCGGGAGGAGCTGTTGTGCGAGGAAGCCGAGTACAACATCCTCCTGTTTTTTGGGGAGGTGGGCTTGTAGCCACCGAGGTCGTCACCTTTAAACACCTTGAGCTGCTCTGGCAGGTTTTTCTGAGGGGCCTCAGACCCCTTCTGGTTCTCGCTGACATTCCAGCCACCCGTTGCCCCCCCAGTGTTCTTCCCTTTAAACTCCCAGTTTTGATCATGTTCGCTGATGTCACAGAGCGAGTCGGATCCCAGCGTTCTGGATTTTACATCCGGAATGAAAATACTGCCTGGTCCACCAGCTGGACTATTGCTTCCTGTTCTGTCATCATCTGCAATTAAAAGTCCAAAAGTGATAAATATTAGCATAAGAAAATGTTGTGCCACACGATTTCTGAGAACTACAACATATGCAATGGTACTCTTTTATAACGAAGCAAAGAGAAAGTCTTTTGCTTAATTAAAACATCCAAAATTTATGCAGTTTGTTTCAGTTCCATGCAAATAGTTACAACAAGGTTTAAGCCCCACCTGTGTACAAGGACTCCATGCTCCTGGATGGACGGAGAGCAGCTTTTTCTGTAAGAAAACAAAAAAGAAATATTAAATTAACACTAACTAGCATGGGCTGGATATTCGCTTTAAGGCCTGCATAATTTCGAAACATCATTAAAGAAGGTCAAAGGTAAAGGCAAATCATCTTGTCCAACTGTTTTTAACTTGCTTGGCTGTTCATGTTGCCCGGTCTCAGAGTGGTGGGGATGTATATTTAGCTATTTTTCCTTTAAATAGTTCTCTCCTGTGGGAATCTTTACCTGTCATTCCCTGTGCTCTTATGAGCACACTGCCATTCCGGCTAAGTTTTCCCTTTGGGTCCAAAGACCTTCCGATGTTAAAGATAGACTTCCACTTCTTCGATTTCCCAGAAAACTTTCTCCTGACAAACGAAGAGAGAAGATTAAGCTCACTGGCATCTGTCACATGTCACAGCATCACAGCACTTTAAACACACGAGAGGCTGAGCCCAAATCTTACTTGTTGTCTGATATGTCTATGACGGTGTGATAGAGCGTGGCCGTGCTTGTATCAGGCAAACTGTTCTCTCGCTGGCGTTCTTTATGGAGAGGGTGGTCTGGACTTAAGGAGCGAGCCTGAGCTTCTTCCAAACTCATCAACTTCATTGGTCCACACTGGCCACTGATGGGGAGCGTGGCGTACTTTTCCCCACACTTCGAAACCGGTCCTGGAGAAATATAAAATGTTGTTTTTTTGCGCTGGTAACTGAGAAAATGCTTCAGCTCAACATTTCTCCTCAGCAAAAGAAGTGTCATACCTTCTTTGACTTTAATTTGTTCACTGCTGAAGATCTGATCTGCGTGGTTTAAAATAAACTCAACCACCGACTGTTGTATCCGCACCTCCTGGAAAGCCATGTCTCCATTACCAGATGAAGCCTCAATGTCTTTAGATCTAAATACAGGAAATACAAAAACAAGTGTTGAAACCCAACAGTAAAAACTTGCATTGACACTGGATGGCGTATAATGTGTCTCAACCATATCTAAACTCACCTCAGCAGATTTGGAGCCCACACCAAAGCCAGGTTACGTGTATGCATGTTTGTTTGGGTGCTCAGGGTAGCGAGGTGGGACAAGTGCTTTGCAAGGTACTCCAGAGTCCTAAGGATAGGTGAGAAAAAATGTGTTTTCACACTTATTTAAACACGATTAGTCAAACACAGTAAAGAGTTTGTCAGCAGGACGACTGTCACATCCATTAAAGTTTAAGAAGTTAAAGGTTCACCTGAAGTGAGCAGTCGGCAGTTCTTTGATGACCTTCTGAATGTGTAAAAGTCTCTCATGATCGTCCTGGACTGAGACCACTTCCTGCATGCGAACCGCATAAAATAATTCATGTTAGCCTAATTTTGTTACTTTGAGATTCATGAACGCCAGCATTCTTTTAAGTATATGTTAGAGGAAGTACATTAGAAGACTGTTTGAGTTATAGAGTACCATTATATTTTTTTTAAAAAAGCATTAGCGTTTTTTCTGCAGCTCTCTAATCATTAATCAGAGAAAACCTTAATATAGCTGCAGAACGACTAGATTGCTCTGCACTAAAACAACATTGAACTTTCTTTTTCTTTTTTTTTTATCTTAGATTACACTCGATATGATTAATGTTATAATTATCTGTAGGCTAAAAAACAAATCTAGCTGTCAGGGCTGTTAGCCCTGTTAACAGACAGGCATAGGTTGGTATGTTTGCTGTAAAACTAATGCAGTGGAGCTTCAAACAGCTGAGCTTTTGTAAGTTGCATTTAACTCAAACAGTCAAAGTACAAACAGTCCACCTAAAAATAACGTTTTATGCAAAAAAAAGGAGCAACGTTTGCAATCTGAAAGCAATTTAGCACCAACTTTGTTCTTTTAAAGAAAACAATAAAGTTTTCTAAACTGTTCTTATGATGTTTTTAGTGCACCGTGCGAAGGGCAGATTTTTCCTAAAACACTGGAGTCCTACAGTTTTTCAGGAACCAGCGGCACGAAATGTATGAATGCCAAGGTATGCAAATGCCCCGTGAAAGTACACAGAACGCTGGGCAGAAAATATGATACTGGTCTTAGAGTTTGATATTTCTGTTTCCTTCTTTCCTACTTTTTTGCCTGCATTTTATCCAGAAAATTCACAAAGGTTCGGTGCTAAAAATCGGAATTTATGAAGATGTGATTACACTTTAACTGTGTTTTTCTAACTTCGTTGTGCATCTGATGCAACAGTGAAACAGACAAGATGTTTTTCATCTTTAAATTAAGTTTTTTTCATGAGTAACACATTTTTTGGAAGTGGTTATGGTTATCGTTGTCATTACTGTAAAATTACAGCTGTTATAAACATGAAAAAGTGTTAATGAATAGTGTCATTAGGTCAGAAAATACCATTTAAATGCAAATTAGCCAATATGAAGCTGATATCTGCTAATTGTACCCTTTTCTACAGGGTCTCTTGTGAGTGACATATGACCAGCTGAACGTGCAGTCAAACCACTTCTGTGTCACACAGGATCCCCCCTCCCCCATCACGACAGCAGATGTGACTTGAATGTACTCACGGTGAATTTGCTGTAAAGCTCATATGTGAGCAGAGGATTGGGTAGCTCCCTGAAGTACAGCTTACATAAGGAACCCACACAGTGGATGTCCTGGAGGTACACTTCCTTTGTAAGGTCAGGGCACGCCTCAGAACAAAATTCCTGCCTACACACAAACACACACACAGACTTAGCTGAATGCTTTGATTGTTTAACACCCCTGCTAACTACGGTTGCAGAATGTAGCTGGTAAGATTTAAGTCCATTTAGTTGACTTGTGTTATTTTGGGGGAAGAAATCATCAGCAAAGATGCTAAAAAAGATGCAAAAAAGATCTAAGGAAACATTTGCATAACTCAGATGATTTATGTGTGTTGTTTCTTTCAAGAAGAATACATACACCAGTAACTGTTCAGAGAAGCTGCATATAAACAGAAGCGATACATACAGACCATCAGGATTAGTCTAAGATTTTAAATCGTAATTCTTAGCATGTCATGTCTAATTGTTGCAAATCTTCAAAAACGTATGGTAGGAGTACCTGAGACGCTGGATATTTGAGGTAACCCCCGACAGTCTGTAGATCCCGTCCACAATCCCATGCTTCTCAATAAACTCTGCACATTTCTTGAGGACCTGAGGAACTTCATTAAAGAAACAATATTAATCGTAGAGAAACCTGAACGATTATATTTCATCGTGTTTCACCTTTTTTTTTCTTTTACACATATCCACATTGCATTAATCGGAAAAGCAAGGGGAGGAAATTGCTGTACGTTTAACTTTCCACAGTAACAATGCATACGGTCGACTTCATGGTATGTGATTTGTTCCACTATGACTGTTTTCGACTCCTTGGGGCTGGTGATTGTAGGTGGACAGGAAGTTAAAAATGGTTTGTTTGTTTCAGAGGAAAGTTGACACACCCAGTCCTTGTAGCTGGGATTACTTACGACATTTCCTCTAATAGAAAACGGCTTTTGAAATGTTACCACTGACCTGCGCAGCTTTCTAAACGACGGCACATCACCTTCTGAACACAACTTTGTCTTGCTCCACTATTTTAAAACCTTATGAGAATGGACTGCAATTTTCCAGTGTTTGTTGAACCATACGATCCGATCGCAGCTTCCCTTTAACTAATTATTGAAATAACAATTGACTGCAAGTCACTTCCTGGGTCAGCTTACTCTTGCTTTAAAAAACTTCTGAATGATAGAAATGACCTCCAACATTTAATCATATTTTTCATCTTCCGAGTTTCACGCAGATCAGCAAACTGCTGTCATTAATTATTATCATTAATTAACTGTGCATTAATGAAGGTTTATAGAATGTATTTGACATGTTTATTTGTCGTACTTAAAGATGAAAGAATATAATTAAGGCATTATTATTTTAAATGAGTATTTAAGGTTCCTATACTGACTTACAAGTCTTAAAAGTATATTGCTACTTATGACTGAATGTCAGTCCCCAACTTATTCCATTTGTAGTTATATTGGCTGTACAGTAGTGTAAACGTTTGCTGATATTAGCCTATCAGAAAACTTATAATAGTGGCAGGTGTTGAACTGTTTAACTGTGTCTTGTCAGTTTCATCCTGGCTAAATAGTCAGTTAAAGTGTGACAGGAAACTGAAAGCAGTGTCTGAAATCAACTTTTTGACTTATTGCCAAAGGAACTGGTAGCTTGGAAAAAAGCCATGCATATTTTTCAACACCACAGTTCCTGAAGAATTGCTTTTTCATAGATACTTACATATACACACTTGCCATTGCTGCAAAACTACGTTATTAGGTTGAATACAAACTTAAAGAAGAGGCCATAATATACTTTATTACAATATTGTGACATCATTGTGTTATGTTGTAAAATAAACACACTGCCCCATAGAAGGACAGACTTATTTAGTCTCTACAAAGTTTAGTCTTTATACTTATCTTTATACTCACTCATTAACTACTTCCATATAGCTTAGAGAAATTAGCTTTGGAAAAAAATGCAACTTAAACATAAACACAGGTCTCAGGAAGCTAAAGGTTACATTCCAAATTAAAAGTCTACTTATGTCTGTTGATTGGAAGGTGTTCTTTTAGGACTCTGACTGATAAGGGCTAAAATAGTAAAAAAATAAATAAATAAGAATACCACGTTTTTGTTTGCCTGACATAAAAGTTTGAATATAAAACAAATTAAAAAGTTTTAATCAACATTTAGCTTTTTTAGATATTGAATTTTATGTAATGTTTCAGTTTTTTCGTACAAAATGAATGATCTCGCAAACAAAACATAGACTGTGTCCTCAACAAAATGAATGCCTGGATATTACTTGCAGGAGTTAGTCTCTCATTCATCACCACAGACACCAACAATCTGCTATTTAAATTCTCTTCCTTCTGACTTAATTGGACTTTTAATAGCATGCTTGTGGTTAAATTCTGGACGATGAGGCACTCTGGAGTTTCCATTTTGTGCCTCCGCGTTTCCCGACTTAGAGAAGATTTCTGCCTCTCGCAGAAGGACAAAATGCAATTTGATTTTCATCTGTTTTACAAAGAAGCCTCTGAAACAGGATTTGACAGCATGTGGCAACAAAACAATACACGAAACTTTGTAAAAAACAGGTATTTGCATGTCTTGCTACTGTCATCTTAAATGTTTCATTAAACACTGAACATGTTACAGAAACTGTTGTTGTACGTGGACCAAAGTATTTGATGCTGTTATTTTACACAGGCAATATTTATTTTACACAGCCAACATCACATTCCTAATGTGAAAAACTGAAAAAAACCTTACTTCATCTAGACAGGAAGTGTATGTTTTAAACTTTCTTGGCATCAAATCAATATTTATTCATTAAATATTATCAACTATTATTTATCATTTGGTTTTTTTTGACAGTTTAGATTAAAGTTAATCTTAAAAATGCAAAAGTTGAGAGTATTTTCTGTCAAATACCATTTATTGTAGATGTACAAGTGCTGAATGCATTATTGTCACTTGTGCACAACGCTGTGCTTTTAAAGCTGTTTCAGCACTTAACCATACCAAGTAGAGCAATGCAGAAAACACTTTCAAATGCGTCAAAATATGTAGGTTTTTGAGTCTTTACTCAACTTATCATCTATGTTGTGTTGCTGTGAGTTTGCCGGTTGCTCTCAGGGGTGTGCAGCTACTTTCATGGAGAGTCACTAAGAGTACAAAAGCCCAATATGCTTCCATGACATAGGAGTACAACCTATACCTCCTCCCTCACTTCCTGTGTTGAATACCCCGCCTTGCAGTGTGTCCACTCTAACAGGTCATCTTTAAAGTTACCCTCTGCGTAGCTATTCATATCTGCACGTGGGAGGGTTTTTTCTTCACTCTTTTCATATTTAACATATGATGTGAAACCTCGCATATGACGGTCGTGATAAAAGAATGAGGATGACATAAACGGACACAAAAAACCCCAGAAACCTAATGAAAATCCGGTTAGTTGAACAATTTGTTGAACGAGTCGGGAAGTCTTTGTTTCTGATCTGTTTTTCTTGGCTCGTTATTTTCTCACAGAAGCAGGGAGCCGCAGTCCTAGCAAGTCTTTTGGTAGGCACAGAATTACTCATAGGAACTATAGTCACCATAGGAAACTGACACAAAAATGTAAGAGCCACACCCAACGTCGCAAATGACCATTTAATTTAGTCAGTGGGTGAATGAATGACCTTACTAAATGTAAAATACTTGGATACATACAGTGTGTATATGTAACCGCTGAACAAAGACTGTGTTTATTACATGAAGGAATGTTTTGTCTTTTGCTCATACAATTTTTTTTGTTAAAATAGCTGCAACAACATAAGAAACGACTAGTAAAGCCTATTACCCTCATTATCTTCATTAGCCTCTATCTGTATGGGAAATACTTATTAATAGAAATAGTTTGAAGTTTAGTAACAGCTCTGGTAAAGTAGAATTAGATTTCAAGGAAGCAATTTTTAAAAAGAAAGAAAAGAGTTTACCATCTTGTCCTGAATTCTGGAGATGTTCTATCAGGTCACAGCCGAACGCATTTTCACTTCCTTTCTTCTTGGTCTTCTGCTTTGTCCCTTTATTCTTCATGTGGATCCAGTTACTAGTCCAGATGATTAAAGCAAAAAGTTCCTTGAGAGCACACCGAATGATCCATATGACCTCTAGAAAGTTGAGTTAGTAGATCAAAAAGCGGCCACATAGAAATCCCAGCAAACAGCTCCCAAAAAATCTGCATCCGCTCACATTCTGTCTGACCACACACTGGAAGAGGAGAGGAGAAGTGACGTCACTTTTTAAACTTGAAGTCCTTTAGAGTGTTGTCACTTCAACAGAAGACCAAACACAAAAAAGACACGGTGTGACTGTAGGTTCTCTAGAATGTGGCATTATCTCTGAAAGCTCTGCAGAAACTGCGTTAGGATCCGTCGGTTTCCTGTCGTTTTTCTTTAACCCCCAACCAGTCTCGCTCTGCTCCTTCTTTCTCCTCCTCTTTTCCTTCATTCCACACTGTCTCCTTTTCTTCACAGATTCTCTGTAGCTAAGGCGAACATGCGTCAAGAGGGGCAAGACCCCCCCGTGAAGAATGGCCCTAGTTTTACACAGATTTCTCTAATTTCACAAAGAAACACATTCTCGTAAACGTGTTGATTTGTGGCAGTGGTATGCCTGGGATTTTATAAATGCTGAGACTATGCAAGGGGAGGGATGTGAAGTTAAGGGAGTGAGAACAGCTGACACTTGTGTTTCTCTCCTATATTAGTAATTACTCTCCTCTTCTCCTTATTTTTTTTTTTTAATGTGCCCAAACTTGGAGCTAACGGGAAAACTTCTCTCTGCCTTCCTGAATGCTCCCAATGTACACAGTTTCCTGTGCAAAGAGCCCCGGCTCGAAAACAAAAACAGACGGGTTCTGAAGGAAGAGGGAAGTGGGAGTTGACTGAAGTAAGGGCCTGAAGGGCACAGATGGGAAATGGGGGGAAATGGGGAGGGGTAGCGTGACGAGATGGACAACACATGGTTCTTGTTACTAACTGCTACATATGTAATCTTTGTCTTTTTCAGTTCAGTTTCTATTCAAACAAATAATGAATTAATGGCTAAAACACTGAGTCGTGTTAGTTATAGAATGCAAATGATTTCTATGTAATATTTTCCATGTAATACAAACACAATTGCAGGGGGTCATTATGCCCAACTCCATAAATAGTGAGTCTATACATTCACCTGCCACAATATAAGGTACACCTTATATGTACTGGGTTGGGCCCTACTTTTGCCTTTAGAACTGCCTTAATTTTTCATGGAAACATTCCAGGGTTTTGTCCGTATAAATATGACAGCATCACACAGTTATTGCAGATTTGTCAGCTGTACATCCATGAGGTGAATCTCTTGCCTCTCTCCAGACATCAGAAGATGAGTACGCTGTAGCCATAAAAGTATGGGCATGGTCAGCATAATATTCAGGTAGGCTGTGGTGTTTATGCTCGGTTGTTACAAAGAGGCCCATAGACCACTACACCACTGACATCATTACAAACTCTAAATCCACAATTTCTTGTTTTTCAGACTATTCTCTGTAACCCATAGAGGTGATTGTGTGGGACGAAATGCCAGATCAGCGATTTGTACAACAACCACTCTATGTTCAAAATGACTGAAATCAGCTGCTACTCCATTCTGATGCTCGGTGTGAACTACAGCAAATCATCTTGACCATGACTACTTGCCTTAATGCGGTGAGTCACTGTGATATGATTATACCTAATAAAATGGCCAGTGAGTGTATTCTTGAGGGTTGTGGAACTCTAACGGTTTAACAGGGAAAATTACAGACCCCAAGAAACATATTCCGCAAATGAGGCTTGGAATTTTAAAGCCGTGAAAAACTGAACTTTCCATGAAGTGACATTTTTGGACATAATCGCCGATTCCCCCTGACAAACCACCGAGTGCAGTGATTTATTAACTGTAGACATTTATCGAATTAAAACCATTCACTCCTGCCAGAAAAACATGCATATGCAGACACCAAAGAGCGTGTTAAACCAGCCTTACATAACTTGAAAAACTGATTTGGAGTAAAAGCAACTTTTTCCTATACAGAAATAAAAAGCTATAAAATAACAAGCTGCAAACCAAACATTAAAAACATAAACCTGGTATCACTTTTTAATGGTAAACCAGATAGGGAGTAGTGCTGCCTTTTACACGTCTAGGAGATATGCAGTAACGTTAGCATTAATCTAGAGTTTTGCTTTTTGTCCACCCCATGACTTAAGGCTAATAAGTCTAATAATCATGCTTCTTTTAGCTGTGTTCTGGCCTCCTCCTGCTCCCTGGGGAAATATCTGGCTCCTTGGCTGTTAAATGCTCGGCTCTGTTTACCAGCTCATTGCTGACATTGTCTGCCTCCCGCCCAGTCGCTAACACGAGCAGTGTGAGTGAACCAAAGTAAAATAACAGGCCGGAAAACCAAAACAATGAGTTGACAGAAGCTCGAATTCTCAGTAGAGCAGAGAGAAAACGGCAGACTTGGGTGATGATTCTATGCGGATTCTTTACATACAAATAATCCTTTGTTTCTATAAAACATTAACCACCACTTTTTACTACAGCTGTCAAAAATGCCAGTTTCCATGTCTTTCTTTTTTTTTTTCCCTCTGAGAACATTTTCTTAATCCATCCATCTGTTCTCACTTCTACGTATTTATGAAAACAAGGAATCCTTTTCCCAGGATCTATTTGTTCTAAACAGACATGGCTGATACTGACATTCAGGCACAAACACACCTACACACACACACACACACACACAAAATTCAGATTCAACTCATCTGACCTGCGTAACTGAACAGTTTGAAACAACTGGAGCAAAAAGAGGAAACTTCCACATACTTAAATGACTGTTCTGCTACAAATAGAGATGAGAACATCTGACAAAGGAGCTGTTACACAAGCCATATAGTATTTAAAAGCAAGAACAACGAGGTACACACTGTAGGTAGCTGTGGACCTTTTTTTAAAAAAATATCTGAACTGTGTGGTTTGTTGAGTAGATCACAGCTTGCAGAGTTGATATTTTTGTGAGTGTTTTGTGAATGTCACATGTGAGCTACATGACCAAGCTTGGCCTCAGCAAGACAAAGCTTTCATTCTGCACCATAGGAAGAGGAGATGACATCATGCTGTTCATACAAAGCCTCAGACATCCCGCTCTTTCTTTGCACTGGTTAATAATAAAAAAAAAGTGTCTATGCTAAGAGACCATTTCATTGTGTGTGTGACTAATAAGGAGTTATTCTTGTCCTTACTTTGAGTCTTTTAGAACATGTTCTCAGAGTGATGCAATGCCTTGGTAGATCTGCAGCACAATTTGGCTCCGGCTAAATGTGGAAGAAGGGAAATGACACAACTAGGGAGAAAATGTTCTTTACATATACAAAAAACTGTTGATTTTGCATGAGGATATAAGGTTTTCAAGACAGAAGATTGATATTTCAGCTGTATTTGATGCGAGACAGGTGGCTATGTTGGCTTTAGTGATTTAAATAGGCGTGAGGTGCTATGTCAATTTGCTTAAACTATATCAACAGAGAGTCTAACTCTTTGTTTGCATAGCCTATTCATGCCAAACCTGATTAAGCCATGTTTTCTAACTAAGCAGGAATATTAGAATCCTAGAAAATAAGATATAAGTTCACATTATTTGAACATCAAGAAAGATCATTTATTGTTTTGTTTTCTTTTATTGTTATGTTCCATGTCTGAGCTGTGTGTCTTTGCACAGCCAACATACTTAATCCTGTTATTATTATTATAATGAATTGAGGCCACTGCTGTCCCAGTTGTTTGGCAATAAATGCAATTTTCTTAAATACCTTGAGATGTCCTCTTTAAACTGGAAGTTGTGCTCTCCACGCCCTCCACTGGTCAAATCTTTGCACTACAGCAAATTGCACAGTGAGGTTGTGCTTCTTATGTAATGCACAGTTACAACAAATATGCATAGATATGTTCAAAATTGAATGCGTCACAAACAGCTGGACATTGCAGGTCTTTACTGAACACATTCAGTGACCGTTCACTGTGTAGGGTAGTGATTCTGGTAACTCACAGACCTCTGGTAGCAATAACCTGCATTTTCTTTACCTTCTTATTAATTATGAACATTAAGTGCCCAATAGTACTTTGACTTGACCGTTCAATTGTTTTTTAACAAGTGCATAAGATCAGGGTCCTGTGGTAATCACAGGAGGCCCAAACAAGGACATTTTGCTATTTTGTGTTGATGTGCAGTGCACTTTTCCTCCAGATATAATGTTAGAAATCATTTCCAAAAAGCAAAACTTCCTTCCTTCGTCCTCTGAGATGAGCTGCAGATGAACACTTGCTTTGGGTTAATTATTTTCCACAGTTGTTTTTCCTGTTATCCTCAGGTTCAGCTTTTCATTTCTCTCAGATGTGCATGGCGTGCACTTCATAAGATCTTTGCAGACTGTTGTTACTAAATAATTTAGAGCAGGCCCGAGTTCCCTTCATTTGTACATAATTTGTCTTATTGTGAAACTGATAAACACTCTGCTCTCCAGACGTGCCTTTGAAGTCTTTTCCAGCTTTGTGCATATTTACGGTGCGGGAAATAATTATTTGATCCCCTGGTGAATTTGTAAGTTTGCTCACTTAAAAAGAAATAAACAGTCTCTAATTTTGTATTAGTTTAATTTTAATGGCGAGAAAAAGAAAAACCAAATAAACTAAACCAACTAAAAATCCAGAAAAAACAATACATAGAAGTTATAAGTTGGTCACCAGGTCTGCACACATCTCAGGAAGGATTTTGGTCTACTTCTCTTTAGTTTTCTTAGCCAAGCTTCAGCTTCCTCCACAGATGTTCTATGGGACTGAGGTCTGCAGACTGGCCTGGCTACTCCATGATCTCATGAGCTCTTTGGCCTTACCCACGAAGATTGAGTTTGGACTGGTCATAAACTGATTCTATAGGAAGCTGTGCTTTATAAACATAAGTTAAGTTGAGATCAGAAGTATTGTGATTGATTGATTGTATTCTGTGTGGCAATGTGGGGGAGCCATAATTCTAGCTAAGTTGTAGGGAATCAAATGCTTATTTTACTCAATGACACGCAACTCAGAATCAGAATCTTTCATTCCATGCACACAAATCAAGAGTATCTAATAAATACAACATAAAAATATAAATAAATGCATGCGTGTTTGAGTAATTGTAGATTGAACAGGTTAGTGGAAGGGGGACAAACGGATGTTCATTAATTGTTTACTTACTATTGTAACAACCCTGGCAATTGTACTTTTTTCCCAGTCTGTTTGTTTTAGCTTTTATTGTATTGTACTGCTTTCCTGAAATAGGTGCATGCTGGGTGGGATGTGTCCCTCTGGAAATCTTTTCATAACCTTGTAATTATGGGGGGGATTTGATATTTTCTCTCTCTGCATTAAAATA